TAAACTTTTTACACGCTTTGGAAAATCTCAGAAGTTCGCGGTAGTCACTTTTCGGTAAGGAACTAGGGGACTCGGTTATTGTATCGAGGGGGGGGTCGAAACGATCGCAAAGGCGGTATACTACGTATACGCGCCAAAACATAAATTACAAATTAACCCCCTATGGCATGATTTTATTTCCGGGGTCGGATTCTAAGGGACACGCATCCTTGCTGTAGCTTTCGTAAAAACACAAAGTCCCAAATGTTTTCCACAGAACTTGAATATCTTGGCAATACATTTTTCAAATAAGAAAATTTACCACAGAGAGGTGACATAGAGCGTTAAATATACATATGAGTTATAATAGTGGGGCTGTCGCTTAGAGACCAATATACGCTTCGAGCTCCTAGGTCGATGACTTTTCTTTCTGTTCTATTCATGTTCAAGTTAGGACACATTAGGTTCACAATTAGGACAAATAACCCTGGGAAAAAGGCCGGTAGGTCATCTTATTCGTCGGTTTTACTGCAAATGGACAAAAAACGAAGGGAACAAAGTATTAGGAAAACTTGTGGCAGAAAAATAAACTTTAGGACAAATGACCTGACCTAGCACCGAATCACAGCGTATAAGCTAAGAGCAGAATATAGTTAATAGTTATTTATATTATTATATATATTTATTATATATAATAGTTATTTCTTTACGTCTCGTAACAAATTGTAACCATTGAACATTGACTTACTGGCCAAAACGTGAAACGCAAAGGTAGTTCATTACATAAATTTATGTACGTTATCTGGGGCGCAAGAACAGCAAATAGGCTAAATATGTTGAACTGTCATTGCTGCATTATTATGTGGGTTATTGACCACTCATGGTTTGTTTACCTTGGCTATCATTGAACTGGAAATGCTGGAAGCTTGCCCTTTGGCTATTCGAGAGAAATCACAGCACATATCTTCAAAGAATAAGAGCATAATATACTTACTAATCATGTGTTCGTGAGGTTTAGTAATCTTCAGCTCTTCAACTACTTTAGAGTATCTGTGCTCCCAGCATGTGTTTCCAAAAATTTCTTTCACCCAAGCCGCATGTCGATGCACCTGTAAGAAAGGGATATCAATTATCTTTATTCCATCCTTTATGACCACTCCTAGAGTTTGTTAAGTGAGTGAATTAAATATTGTCTTGGTTCCAACACCTTCAATTATGAGTTATTATAATTTAAGATGGAGCATAATGAGAAACGTGTACCGTAAAAATAAGAAAGGAGCCAAAAAATGCAAGCTTTATTTAGGAACTGCATCCAGGGCCGGATTTACTTACTTGCCGCTCATATGGTCCGCCCGTATATTTTGTCGCCCCCTTTCTCATTCGTTTTGAAACATCAATAAAAACCATCATGTGAACGTGCTGGAGGAGATGGGGGGCATAAGACGCGTTTACTGGTGTTGGACACATTTTTTGCGAAAGCCCTGTCAACACTACTAGCAAAAGTTCACGGAATTTTGCGCGAAAGTAAAGTTCCGTCAACCTATCTCTGTGTGAACAAGGCCTTGCATTTCTAAGAAATAAACAAAAAAAAAGTATGTAAGAACAAACATAAATGTGGTTTATAATTTTAACTTTCGCCGCCGGCGCCGCGCCGCGCCAAGCTGACTGCACTGTGTTTGACGCAATGCGTGAAGTATTCATGCAGTTTTGTAGGCACTAATGTGTGTTGCATGCCTACCGCCACGCATTACTCTCTGCGCCGCACCGCTCCAGGCCAAATTGCGTGTTTGTTTTCCCTCATAACTCGAGTGATTGGAGGTTCTGTCTCTTGTATCACCGCAGGTCGACAAAATTACAAATTACTATACTCTCATCTCAGGAAATGAGAGATTTTGTCGCTTTTTCTTGTTTGTAATTTTTTTCCTGAATCCGATCTTTTATTATACCTACAGCTAAAAAAAATTGCAAAGTTTGCCGCCCTCTAAATGCCGCCATGAGCCGCGGCCCATGTGGCCACTTCCTAAATAAGGCTCTCACTGTATCTAAAACTTGCTACCGGATAAAATGTAGACTGTGGGTCCCACCAATTATTTGATTTTTAGGTATTGTATTTACTTCATATAATACTTAATCTCCTCAACATGAGAATTGCAGTTTACGATTACAAATGGCGAATGGAAATACGATGAGAATACCGTGCTTCAAAATGATCATAACACATATGAAAACATATTAATGTAACGGTTCCGTAGAGTGCAGCTAGGAGCATATATCAGCGTTCCTGTTGGGCCCTACTCCCGGAGTATTCTCGGGCTACGCGCACGCACCTCCAGGGCCTACTCCCGAGTATTCCCGGGTTCAGACACTCACGCCCATTCACGCGGGGGGGGGGGGGGGGGGATTCACGCCCCCGCATCAACTCGCATCAAACCATAGGTAGTGCTATCTGTTTGGGAGGATATGAACTACAAATTCCACCAGTTTATCCCCTAAGTACAATTTCAGAAAATTTCATTTCATTTAATGCAATAATAAGTGAGGTACAAGCAATTTAGTGCAACAACAGCATATGCTTGGAAGTTGGTAACTTTAGCTCTTTAATTTACATTGTTTTGAAAGGCTACAAATTTTGCTCTGTACATCCTACTGTGTTCATATTTTAAAAACAAGTTTTGACGACTAGCTTTTGAATTGTGCACATAAATTTCTATATTTGAATGTCAAAAATACTACACAACGATTTTCCATTTTTTTCCCACACATTTTCAATTTTCTTTTAAAATTTAGCTAATTTCTCTTTTTTCAACACAATTAAAAAAAAAATTATGAAAGAATATCAATTCTGCATCCCTTAAGTACAAATTCTGAAAATTTCAAGCCATTTCATGCAAAAATAAGCGGAATACAGACAATTGAGTGGGACTGTAGCATTTCCTTAGATTTCCCTTTCCTAACCTAGGCTGTGGGTGCACACTCTGCCGGCCCTAATCTAGGACTGAACAGGTTAATATCTGACGCTATTTAATTATTTGATGAGTAAGAATTTCTGGGAAAATGACCTTACTCCATCAGTTTAATTGCATTTCTGCCGTGCCGCAATTAGGTCAGAGATGTCAAACATGAGTACAAGTTTGAAGTTGTTGTCACGTTTTCTTAGAGATTATAGTTTACATGTACATGGTATATTCTGGACGTTTTGTCGAACGAAGCTATGTCTAATATCTGCAAGATACACAAACTTACTGGGCATTTATTTGTTTTATCATCCAGCATGATATCACAAGCACCCTTCATGTCGATGGACTTCAATCCATTTTTGGATCCATTTAGTGATGGTTGATGGTACTGAACGACGTACGCAAAAGAAGTCATGATACCCTCAAAAAATGTGTAGATGTCATTCTTATCATCCTTCAGGGGCTCACAGAGACTGAAAATGAAAGAGGGGATATATTTACAAGATTTTCTAATATCAAGGCGCTACCTTCATTACATGTAATTAGTTAGTTAGTTATAATTAATTTATTTACATACATTCAGCATTTTAGGTTATTAACGTCTTCACAAAGAATTTGATAGAAGGGTGTATACACAACAATTTAGATTTTTAAATTAAGGCAGGCAAAGAGTTTCAAAAGTTTGGTAGTGGCATTGGGTTCATCGCATGTAGTGCGTTTGTATTCATTTTGACTGTAGGTGAGTAAATCTGTGATTGGAGATCCCTGAGGGCAGAACAGTCCATAATCACGTGTTTAACGGTTAGAGGTGATTAATTGCAGAAGTTACAGATGAGTTTATCTTCTTTGCAGATGATATGATTGTGACTGATCAAAGTGTGACCAATCCTGAGACGCGCAATTTGAACTTCACATGATCTTGTTTTGTAAACAAAACATTGACCACTAACAGTACGTATACAACAAAATCGACGTACACACTAAACTACATGTTTACAATTAAGGAAACCAAAACTTAAAAATTGGGAAATTAAGGCTAAAAACAAACAAAATGCCATGGGTGTCTCGAGGTGGTTCCAACTCCCTCTTCTGTTGGGGAAAAAAAATACAAAAATCAATGAGCCCCTAGGCTCAGTCCTCCGATCGTGATAATAAAAAGAGAGGGCCTCTCTTTTTCTTATCACGAATGGGAGTCTGTGACGTTCTTTGATTTTTCTATTTTTTTTCTGGTCGAGGAGGAGGTTGACATCATTTCAAAATGTCACGGGCATTTTGTTTGCTTTTAGCCTTGATTTCCTTTTTTCTCATATTTTGTTTTGTTGAATTATTTATGGGTTATTTTCTTGCATCATTTTTATAACTAAATTGTCTTAGTTGTGCTGCAAATGTATATGTATCTGTTACGGTCAAAACCCGAAAACCGGGCAAATCGCGATGTGCCCGGGCAATGCGCGATTTGCCCTAGGCGTTTTGGGCACATTGCGAAATATTTTAAAAAACCGGGTTTTGTCCGGGCAAATCGCGATGTGCCCGGGGCAGTTCGCGAAGTGCCCAATGGTGATTTGGGCAAATCCAAAAATCAAAGAAACCAGAAAATAAAACCAGGAAAAAAGAGAAATTATTTCTTACCTACGGTGAAGTTTGTTCCGTTGTGAATGATAAACTGCTTCAGCATGATTTGTAGACGTCAAGGCAGAAGGTCAAAATTACTTAAAAGTAGTCAATTTTTAGTCACTTTCACTTGAATAGGATTAAAAGTACTGTGTAAAATTACCGTTAAAATTACTTACAAATTATTGCTTGAAAATCACTTATACTTGAATAGGATTAAAATTTCTGAATAAAATTTCCGTGTTGCCACGTTACAAATTTAATCCTATTCAAGTATAAGTGATTTTCAAGCAATAATTTTTAAATAATTTTAACGGTAATTTTACACAATACTTTTAATCCTATTCAAGTGAAAGTGACTAAAAATTGACTACTTTTAAGTAATTTTGACCTTCTGCCTTGACGTCTACAAATCATGCTGAAGCAGTTTATCATTCACAACAGAACAAACTTCACCGTGGGTAAGAAATAATTTCTCTTTTTTCCTGGTTTTCTTTTCTGGTTTCTTTGATTTTTGGATTTGCCCAAATCACCGTGGGCACTTCGTGAACTGCCCGGGCCCATCGCGATTTGCCCGGTTTTCGGGTTTTGACCGTAACATATCTAAGACTATGAAGCACCAAAATGCGGTGGGTGGTATAGTAGGTGGTATTGTGGGTTCAAAAGTTGCTTATAGGTGGCCTTTAGACACATAAAAGTTGTCTATACCTTAGAGTGAAGCGATATGCATAAAACATCAAAAATTCAAATCTTTGTACTTTCAAAATTTTAAATCAATGTTTTAAACTCATGCTCTCGTGATTTTTGTCACAAAACTTAGAAATATTTGCGGTTTTTGATGGTTCGATTTGAATTAAGTACATAAATTGGATTCCAATTCATTCTGGTCCAAAATATTATCTCCTTAGTTTAGAGTCCACCATATGGAATAAATTATTTTTGGAAGAGATACTGTGGATCTTGAGAGGCATTAAAAGCCATGTCATATGCATATTGAGTAACAAGTAACCGAAACATCGTAGAAAGTAATACATTTGGCATCAAAAATCAAAACGACGGAATCAGACGGAAGCTTGCGAACACAGGGCTGAGACACTCAGGAAAATCTTGTATCTAGCGCTTAGTAAAAGAGAAATGTGTGATCTTTACAAAACGCAACTGAGGAGTTCGCCAGGAGATTAAATAACGAGTGCTCTTTGAAAAGTATGAGAGGTACTCAACATGATTTTTACGAACCATGAGTTGGCACAAATACTAAAGAACTCACTTGAAAAGTTGCCGGTAGTGTTCCCGTTTCGTTGAATTTTTAATTCCGTCGCCCATAATGCGATAGGCATCTCTAATAGCATCCACACATTTTGTGCTCACAGTCGACAGGGATTTTGACACAGTTTGGTAGTACTCTGAAGCAAAAGAAAAAACGAACAATGTATTGGAACAATTTTCCAATGAATTGAATATCCCTATTCGCGGGAAAAACCTCAGTTTTCCGATCTAATGTTACCCTGACGTGAGTTGATCACTTTAGAGCAGTTAAGATTTAAAAGAACCGAACGCTATATTTTTTGCTTTTAAATTTCACACGAAATACGTTAGACGTATTGAAATGTTCTAAAATGGATAGCTTAAAATAAAAGTCAGTGTTTATTTTTTCACATTAGAAGGTAAAACGTGGTTCCGTTTTTTGGTCATCGATGAGAATAAAATCGTGTCCTCGCTGCAGTATAATTTTTGAAGCGGGAATCTCAAAAATTTGCCCATCATGCACGCACGCGTGTGGACTTTGTCATCAATTAATGGACATCAATTAATCATATCAATTTTTAGTCACAAACACATTTGGTTTTTGCCCTAAGGCACGGAAAAACGTGTCAAGGACTGTACCCTACAATTTTGGTACAGCCCTGATTTGTAGAATGATATGGACATGCTCTACCTCTTTTTCCGTGCTGATTTATGCAGCAGGCGCATTTGATTCTATTTTAAACTAAAAAAAATAGAAATCTTACGCACCAGGGAAATCGACTTCTGCGAAAAGAGGACCACTCGAAGACACAGCAGCATGGACCAAGTGAGGGTATCTGTATCTCATCCAGGCTGCCAAAGATCCAGCGTAAGATCCGCCAAAAACGACCCATTTTGGATTTTTAAAACCATGATCGATGTTCATCTGCGTTATGAAATGTGCAGCATCAGCCAGTGCCTGCTCACTGCTCAAATATTTCAAATTCTCTACTCCGAGGTCTCTGAAAAACAGAATTGCTACTAGAGTGCAAACAGTGCAAACAGTGCATTACAGTACTAGCAATCAATATTGATCATCTTACATAATACTTGAAATTTTCCTTCTATTCATTCTTCTACTAGAAAATTAACCAGGACCAAGAGGAGAAGATAAATAGGGAAGCGGCAAAGCTTATTTGAAAAAATAGTTATGTTTTGCATTTCAGCATACTGAAGAATCCTCAAGGAGACACTATTGCAGACAGTAGCGATTCTTGAGAGTTGGCAAAACTGTATTTCCTTAATTCAAATGTATGTAAACCAATCGATTCTTGGTGAGGCACTTTGCCTCGTCCAAAATCGATATTTTTAATGGGATTAAATGGAGGCAAAACATTGTTGCCAACTTTCAAGAATCCCTGCTGATAGATCAGGTAAAATCGAAAACACCTCGTGGCATTTTTTAACTTCAAAATGTATATAAAAAATGATCGTCACAACGGAGCGTTTATAAATCAATTTCTTAAGAAGATTTAAGCACGTGTAAGTAAAAGTATAGTTCAAAGACAAAAATGAGAATCCGTCAACTGTTTTGTATCATTCATATTCCCTCTGATCAAAGTTAAATGTACGTAATAATATTTCACCTATAACTATCAACTTCCGAATTTATCGCTTCTTGAATCGTATCCCACGTAAAATATGAGAGAAAAAAGGACAAACTCACCACGAGGTGCTTTAATGTATATAAGTACATTATTTATTGACTCCTTGTACGAATTTATATGTATACAGGTAGGGGGTGGCCAATTTCGTTTTAGCGTTTTAAATTCATCCAATTATACAGAGACGGATCATGACGTTTGAAATCAGCTTTCATTCAAAAGATCGTGATGAAGAACTTGACGGCAAATCGACCACTAATAACGACTTTTCTTTTTTCTTCTTTTTTTTTGTAACTCGGAAGAGGGAACACTTCCGGTACAAGTATTACTGACGGGCCACAGGCCAAAGTCAGTAACACATACTATCTTGCTTGAATAAAAAGTAAATGTTATTTTAAAGTAAAATTAAAACATTTAAAAAAAAATAAATTTTAAGTGAAATCAAAAAATTACTCGATATTAAGAAACGACCTAACAATACTTGACGTGCTTTGACGACGGACTTCTGCAAATCTTCTTCAGCAATATCCGTATTATTCACGGAAGTATAGTAATGGAGCGTGTTATAGTGTGAACACGGGACACGGGACACCGGATCCATGTTGGGCGTTGTGCTACATACCATTATTCTAACTCGGAGGATGTCTATATTGCCTACCTTGTGAAATGAAGGCGAATCTGTTTTTAACGCATTTCGCAAGACTCGGGTATCCTGTACACATCGCAGACCACGGTAATGCAATTCATTTGTTTTGTTAGTTTTGTGGTGGTTATCCCGACAACGTGCTGATTTGATAATATTCAACATCATTACTAAACATTTCCTGATTCCTTGTCGCAACAGAGGAATATGTCATTTTCAAATGGTTCATTGATTTCCTCTTCATTTTAAGCGCATTTCACCGAAAGAAAGGTCATTTGACGTTATTTTTCCGGTAATATCACTTTAATTATGGCGACACATCAAACAATGGTGTCACTGATAAACAACTCACCCTTTTGGCATGCTTTTGCCGTAGAATCGATGCTCAAGTACAAAGGCTGCGGCTTTTAGTTTTTTAGCTTGTTCCGACATAAAGCTGTATTGTAGCCATCCCGCGCTCATGGGACTCTCACCTTCGAGCATGAGAAAAACAAGATCGCTATTACTCCGAACGTAATATTCCTTGCTCATGGCATACCTCTGTAATAATTCAAATAAACGGTCATAGTTTCAATCTATACTGCGGGATTAGTTACACCGCTACGTCGGAAAATGTAATGACACCTAAGCATCTGGTATAAAAAATATGTGTCTGGTGATTTGTGCATTTCAGCAAGTATAGTGAACACAATGCCATAAATGTGGTCTAATTTTTGTGAGAGCTAAAAATTGCACACTGATCTTCTCATTTGATTATTTTTGAGAAAATTGAACTAAGGAGAGGAATCTTTGATTGGTTCAAAGATCAAGCACGGGTAGAGTCACCAGCCAGTGCACAGCACGAGGTAGTGATCATATGATCCTAGCCAAAGTGACGTCATTACGGTGCATCATACAATGCAATCTCACTATTAATGGATGGAGTATGCATGTATCGTGTGAGTATAATATTCCCTCTTGAAGTTATGCTCCATGGCGCTACACTCGTACGTTAGACCCATACAAATGTTTTTAACTGAAAAGTGAGAATGCACTGCGCAATGCAGTGTAATTACGTCACCTTGGATTGGATCATATGATAACTACCTTGTGCTGTTATTTCGGTTCAGTTTTTGTAGCGAGATGATTTCTTTTATCCAATTGATGAAAGGTAAAAAATAAAGAGTAGGCGGGAATAAAGTGACGATTTTTTTTTTTTTTTTTTTTTTTTTTTTTTCCCCTTTGATGGGGAAAAAATTCAATGCACGGAGAAAAGCCCAGTGCACATTAATGATAATCGGTTTTTAACAGTTTTTCTTACCAACTGATCAGCCGATCGCTTGTTTCGTCCCAGAAGCTTGGCCATTTTTGTCGCATGCAGTCCATTTATTATAGGTACATATTCTGTCAAGGACCATAGATTGCTTGTACGTGTATACTGATTTAAGCAATCTGTGGTCCTCAACATGCTTCGATCTTGCTGTTTGTACAAAACGCACGTTTAGATTCAACAATCTCGCTCGATTGGATAGAACTAATACAGTCTTTATGGGTTATTCTATTAAAATGAGTTGACAGTTGAAAGTTAAAAATCGGTTTTGAATAAAAACCATTGGATATTTTTGAAAATTCGTTCATAGTCATATTCACAATTATTAATTTACTTTTAAGACCTGCATCACAGCTAACTTCGAGAAAAAATTATAAAATATGTCTTTAAGTTCAAAGAATGCCTCTAGTATATTTTCTTGGAAACCTAAACAAAATATCGACGGCAATCACTTAACTCGGTTTGCAACGTCGCAGACTTCCTGTCACACTTGTTTTTTTTAACGCAAAACTACTAAACGTCAAATCTTTAAAACTGCCGTGATTTTTCCTCTCTATGTGCGAAGAAAATTCTGCATAAATTTCAAGGAATGATGTCGATTTGTTCTCCTATTAAAAATAACACAGAGGCGGAGATTTTCAGACACTGCAAACGAGATAAGTGATTGCGGACTTACGCTGTCGATATTGTGAGGTGATTATATGGATTAAAATAGATATTAAGCGCTCAGCCGATAGGCAGCGCTTTTTGATTTCGACTTGCCTCTAGAGTACTAGTATACTAGTGCTAATTCGTTTAAATGGCGCACCAGCTCATCGATGTGTAGGCTTTTTTTTTGGGGGGGGGGGTCCAGTTTTAAAATAAACTAGTCGTGATTAGCTCGCTTTGCGAGCTGACACGTCTAGCCGGGGAGTGCCCCTGGACCCCAGTTCTACGCTTCGCGACGAACTTGCGACTCGCTCCGCGCGCCGCCACCGCCCCGCACAGTTTTTAACATTGATGAGGAGACAACATCTATGTCTTAATCTTCTTTTTCACCAAGTTTTACAGAAATTGATGTTCTAGGAGTCCGGACCGCGTTTTCCTGCGGGGCCGCCATCTTGGATTTGGAAATGTTGAAAATCTGACCAAAAATGCGAGTTTTCCGTCAAAATACACCTCCTAATACCGAATTTCACAAAAATCGATGGATCGGAAGCCAAGATAACAACTTAGACCACGATCGCCATTTTTGATT